CATCACAATTATACCCTGCCTAGCCCTGTTCCCCAGCCTCCATGGAAACGTTCATGATTAACACAGTTGTCTTAAACCTATAAGAATTATCCTTAAGACATCCATAAATTTATGGTTAAGGGATGCATCAGCGGTTGTGGATTTGATCTGCTTAGTTTATTGCCTAATCACAGACCAAAGCCATTGCCTGTGTACAGAAGCCAAATACGAACAGAGAGCTCTTCTAACTCCTCCCCTCTACACGGTAGGCTTTCCAACTACTCCTTTTCTCATTTCACTCCTTTTAAATGTCTGTGTTGAGAATAATCACCATCACACAGCTCAGATTTCAGTGTTCAGCAGTTATTTATTGTGTGCTCCTGTTTCTCCCTCCCTGCCTAAACTACAGGCTCCCTGAAGGCAGAGGATGTATATGATACTTACTCAAACTAACTGCTATATAAAAAATAATCAACAAAGCCCTACTGCACAGCACAGGGAGCTGTATTCAATATCTTGTAATAACCTATAATGAAAAAGAATAAATATATACACATATATATATCACTGAATCACTATGCTGTACACCAGAAACTAACACAACACTGTAAATCAACTATATTTCAACTTTAAAAACCCCTCTATTAGGGCTTCAAAAAGTACTTCTCTAATTTATTAACTCCCGGGAATTTGCAATTCTGGTACACAGGATTTACAGCAGTTTCTTTGCACCTGGAACTCTGACAAATTCTAGGCTACCTGAGAGCAAAAACCAAACGTGCTTCATCTCAGGCCCTTTGGCAAGGCAGAGCACAGGGCTTTTCCACACAGTGGTAATTACTCTTCAAGGTTACTGGGAGGAAGACAGCAGAAAGGAGAGAGGAGGGTTAGCTAAACGTGTTCCTTGTTTGTAAAGACACTCCCTGCATTAGGCACGTGGGTGGCTGTTAGATACAAAGTAAGCAGAGTTGCTGGAAAGCACCTTGATCCATAGCTGAACCTACATAGATGCTATGAAGATAACTGGCCCCTGGGTATTCAGAATACTGTCTTCATCCTTCGTTTTATAGACGGTTCTGCACATCTTTATGCCAACTGGATTTGGGTGACGCTGTGATTCAGATATGCAAGTCCTAGGAGCCGTAAAGAGATCTCAAATACATCTACAAACCTCTTTGAGAGACTGTGCAATAAAGAAAACTCCCTGACAAATTAGCCACAACCTCAGAATACAAAGCTAACAACACATCAGCTCACCGCTCCACCCAGCAAACACGGGGAGAACAGTGTTAGGCTGAAACTAATCAATCTAACACTTAGGATCTGGAAATTTTAAGGAAAAAAATGATTTCCTAAGGAAGATAGTTTTTTAAAGATTTTCATTAAGACATAGCTTCATCTCTTCATTCCATTTTGGCCCCAGCAATGCAGTCTCTGAACTAAACAGCAGCACTGAGATCTGACTTCTCCTGAGGCACAAGACTCGTCAACACAGCCAGTACACCTTCAAGAAAACTATACTTGAAGGCAAAGTTTTTGAGGAGGGTGGCAAAGAACAATTAATACGGCGATCGTTCACCCAGAGACAATCAGCATTTCATGCAACTGTATTCATTTCAATATACTCAATAAATTAACCATACAGCCAAGGGGGCTTTTGTTTGTCTACCTTGGCAAGACTTCATGGAAACAAACTATAAACCAGAAAGCAGACATTTTGGTCAAGCCCATAAGTCATAAGTGATTATTACTCTAACAGAAGGTCCGTGCAACCTGAATAGGACACAGACACCGTCACTTCCCACAATTTAACAATGCAAACCGGATGGGCCCCACTCTGTAGGAAGAAACGTTTTCAGTGTTGGGAATGCAAGAGTTAACAAAACGGACAAGGAGCCCCAGAGTTCTTCCTCCAGTCTGCACAGGTGGCTCTGTGTTTCCACACAGCAAGGTTCACAGACCCAAGTGTGCTTATCCTACCTCTGCTCCGTCCACCAGAACCACGGCACCCGCAGCTCTAATCCTCCGAGACAAGCTCCGAGGTGGACCCTCTCTTGCTGCCCACTTTGACAATTCAGTACCAAATCCCCAGTCCTGCTCCATCGCACCCAGGACCTGCAGGGCCCCTGACACAGGCACCAGATCTTGCTGCCCCTTCTGGGCAAGTGTGCAGGTTTATTACGTGAACTGGAAGGCTTCTATTGCTATTGTTTTTGCTGTTGTTGTCTGGAGAAGAGCAACGCGAGGATCAAGGAAATGGGCGAGGCCGCGTGAGCAAACTAAAGCATTAGTCCTGCACTGTCCAGTATGGTAGCCCTTAGCCACATGCGACTATTTAATTTCAACATAAATTAAAATGAGATAAAATATAACATTTAGTTCTTCTGTTGCACTAGCCATGCTTCTGGTCCTGAACAGCCACACATGGCTAGTGGCTGTCCTATGGGACAGCATAGATATAGAACATTTCTATCACCATAGAAAGTTCTTTTAGACAGGGTTACACTCTAGTATGCTAATAACCCTTCTAACAACGTATCCTCCTGGCTCAAATTCCATTGCAATTTATACAGATAACAGTTTATGTTCTGCCTGTCATCTTTTTCCTTCACTGTGTCTCAAAAGACCATCCTGTTTATGAGCAGCTAATGCTTTTACACATTCCTCTGTATGAAGTTTGTTCTTAATATTACCTTGGATACTAATTAAATGAGATTTGAAAGTGAGAACACACTGGCACTGTTAAGGTTAATGGCTTAATCCTTTAGCCCAGGAGACAACTTCAAGAGCTTGTTTGAACGATTTTTATTGAAGCACAGGGAATGCTCTGTTTCATTATCCATGAGCATTGTCTATGCTGCTCCCCTTGGGAAATGTGCCAATATATCCTTTGAGTAACCGATACTCAGAAAATATTCCAGATCTTTGCACTTCTTATTACAAGAGTCAACTGCTAATAAAAGAAAGCCCATTATTCTTCCAGATAATTCTAGAATCATCAAGATCCAGACTTCAGTTTTAATCTTTTTCTTAGAAATTCACTTAAACAGTTAATTATTGTTTATTTAGGAAGAATATAGGTAAAAGATAAAAAAAAGTCCATAGAGCACCAAAAAATAACTTCACTGGTTGCCAGGGGATAGGGGGTAGGGGAAATAGGGACAGCTGGTAAACGGATACAAACTTTCAGTTATAAGATGAATAAGATTTGCAGATCTAACATATAAGATGGTGACTATAGTTAATAACACTGTAGCACACAGCTGAAATTTACTAAGAGAGCAGAACTTCAATACTCACTCACACACACACACTGACACACAAAGATTGTAAACCACCTCAATAATTGCATGGTGAAATGATTCTATTTAACACATTGGTTAAATGAAATGCTATTAAAATAGTTTAAAAGCAAATTTATAATTGATTGTTATAGTAATTGCAACTCTTGCATTTACATGATTCAAAAATTTCCAAACAAAGATTTAAGGGCTCAAGGTAGGCAAGGAGTGTTGGATCAATAGTTCGGCATTAAAAAAGATCTGTTTTTGAGTGTCTTACAATGCCTTCTCTTATTGTTCTTTTCTTTTCAAAACTTTGCTTACACATGGGTATATTAATCATGCTGAAAATCTCAGATGCTTTCTAAGGTATGACTTGTAATATGGACAAGTGCAATGGTCCAGATAGCAGAGAATAGGAAAAACTGAGAATTGTGGTGGATTAGAAGGTGTGTGTCTGAACCAAACATGAATAACCCAAGCTTGCTGCACTGGCTGCCAATTTGTGACCTCTACATCTCAAAGTATCCATTCATTGTCCTGTATGTATCAGTCTTGTTCTGCAATTAATTAGTATCTATGTTTCTTGAAAACAGGCATCACATCTTATCCATCTCTTATAGCCTTCATTGTGTCTAGCAGAGAGATAGGTACATCAAATGCTCACCAAGAATTACTAATTGTTGGTTAACGTCACAGGCAGAATAATGTCCCTCCCAAAGATGTCCATATTCTAAACCCCAGAACCTGTGAACATGTTATGCTACATGGCAAAGGCAAATTAAAGTTGACCTTAAAATAGGCGGATTATCCTGGATTATCCATGTGCCCAATGTAATCACAGAGGTCTTTAAAAGGGGAGGACAGAGAAAGAAAAGGGGTCATAATCAGAGAAGGAGGTTATAGACATAGAAGCAGAGGTACCAGTGATGTCATGTGAGAAATTCTTGACCAGCTGTTAGTGACTTGGAAGATAGAGGAAGAGGACCACAAACTAAGGAATGCAGATGTCCTCTGGAAACTGGAAAAGGCAAGGAAGTGAGTTCTCCTCTGGAGCCTCTGGGAAGGAACAGAGCTCCAATGACATCTAATTTTGGCCCAGTTAAAACTCATGTCGGACTTCAAACCTATAGAATTGTAAGACAGTAAATCTGTGTTGTGTTAAGCCACTGCAACTGTGAGAATTTATTACAGCAGCCATGAAAAACTAATACAGATGAGATGATTTTTTTCTCTTTGATTTTTTAAAGGGGTGAAAGTCAATTCATTATACTTACTGCTCCTTACCGCCACCAATATTCAATTGTTTATGATGAGCACAAGGTTGACAGAGATATACGCCAAAAGAAAATCTGGAATTTTATCCAAAGTAAGAGCCACTTCACCATTTTTAAATGATGTCTTGTGTCCTACCTCCAGTGATTTACTTATTTAAGAGAATTAATTGCCCATTTAAAGTTTCCTTGTGGTAGAAACGTGATACCATGTAAACATTTGTTTGTGACCATCTCTCTGCCCAGGCCAAGCACCAGCTTTACACATCAGATTACATCACTGATAATTTTTAGGTAAAATTGGAAAAGCCATAATTAGCAGACTAATTATTGACCAACAGTTCTACTGGATTTGTCCCCAAAGCAAATTTCTCCTCTGCTCTGGGTTCAAGGTAATTAGCCTTTTTTTTTTTAAATTGATCAGAAATCCTTGAAGTGTTTCTGCAGACTCCAAACAGTCACTCACCGGTATGACGATTTTCACTGGAAAGCTGAAATCTCAGAGCAGGGAAGGGAGCTTGGCAGACCTGGTTGTACTGTATTATCTTCTTAGCTTTCCTGAAGAGAAGAGGGAACAGATAAACTAAAAGGGAACTGGTTTCCCCCCAAGACAGCTATTTCAAAGAAAGAAAAACCTGATTGTTAAATTCAATACTGAGGAAGGAATGTCCTCACAGGTGGCAGGCATATGGTCCTAGCTGATGTCTAAGATCTCTTGTAGCAGAAAAATTCTTAGGAGACTACCTCTGATCATCAGAAAATAATTCATTTCGTGACATCATTCTAGCAGCCCATACCGTCCCTCCACCTCACCCTCCCACAGCCCTAGCTCTCACCCCATACCTCACCCCATCAGGGCTGGAACCACTTCACATTTCTACTAGTTCAGGAGTCTTATCTTAGTTCCTTTATCCCTGCTCACACTTCTAAATATCACCCCTTCTTTGGATAAAATCTACCAGGCACCTGGCTGATAAAAATCTGTAACCTAAACTCATAGGATTATAATAACTAGCCGGTCCTCTATTACCTGCGTAGATTCCCTCTGGATAACTTCCTCTGGTCTAACCCAATCAGCAGCCAGAAGGCAAGAGAGCTGGGTGACTCAGGCCACAGAAATCAGCCTCCCATAGCAAAGAGCAGGGCAGGAAAGTAATGAATGGATTCAAGAAAGTAGAAATTAAACAAAGAATAACTAGCACAGAATTCCTTTGTCAAGGCAACCAAGAGTCACAAATTTCCACTCTGGATCTCTCCTCAAACCCTAACTGATCTTGGTTAAATTTCTACTGCGTTTGAGGCACATCTTTCTTTGAAATAACAAGAATATAAAGATTCTGCAATTGCCTCCTCTTTTTTTTTTTTTCTGTTTTTCTTCAAGGCCTTACTGAATGGCTACCTTCTCCTGGATTTCTTAAGTCCTTTTATTTCTACTACATACATAAGCCTGATGCCTCCCTTCATCTATGTAATAGATTCCCCTGCACATCCTGACTGTCTAGCCAACACTGACAGCTACATTTGGAAAATGGTAAGCATGCAATAAATATTAACCTTTCTTATTTTCATTCATTTTCTAAGAAATCCATGTCTGATTAAATAAGAAAAGGCTTTGGGGATAACAAGGACATTTATAGACTTAAAAAAAAGCATATTATCTGGTTAACATAATTAAGATTTTAAACCTAACTCCAGTTTATGGAGAAACAGAGGAGATAGAGAAAAAAGTTAGACAACGTTGTGAAAAAGCAATCAGACAAATTAAGAATGTGGATCACTTTACAGGAAAACTACTTAGCTTTTGTAACAAGTCGGGGTGTGGGGGGTGGCAGGGGGGCCAAAAGGAAATGCAGTAGACTTTCCACAACAGCATTGAGTTAACTTTTTCTATAAAATATCAGATAGTAAGATATTAAGCTTTGGGGGCCATGTTATGTCTGTTGCAACTACTCAACTCCAAAAAAACACAGATAATACTTAAATGAATGGCAGGACCATGTTCTGATAAAATTTATTTACAAAATGGGCTGCAGATCAGACTTGGCCTGCTACTGACCCTTGTTCAAAGAGTATACGTCGGGGAGGATAAAGCTCAGTGATAAAGCACATGCTTAGCAATGCATGAGGTCCTGAGTTCAATCCCCAGTACCTCCTCTAAAAATAAATAATAAAACCTAATTACATCCCCCCTGCCAAAAAAAATATAACAAAGTAATAGAATAATGAATAAAATTTTAAAATAAATAAATAAAGAGTATAAGAAATACAACAATTTAACAAGCAAAAATAAAATGGGCACTTATAATTCAAAAGTTTTCAACAAGGTATGGGAATGGGGAAGGAAAATGAGGGAAGTCAGAGGAGTCAGGGGGACTGGGAAGCCGGCAGAGAAACGAGACCTTGTCGGAGGACGGGCACACATGCACAGTAACACCACCCATTGACTGAATTTTTTTTTTTATTTCTTTGTCTAGTGGTCTTGCTTTTCCACTGCTTTCAAAACTATGATGCCCGCAAGGAAGCAAAGACTGCATCTGAGGGTCTGAAGAGTCACAACTTGGGAGACACAGATTCAGGTAAAACCAAGAGTGTTCCTGGGAAGAGGAAGTCAGGGGCTTGTACTTTGTACGATACTGGGTTTTGGTCCAAACAAAATTGGATCAGAAAAGCCAATAAATTCACTTAAAGAATCCTCCTTTTTTTTTTTTAAGATTTCTAAGTCGACTTAGGCAACTTTGAATGATGGTATTTACATAATAAAATTGGAGACAAGACTGAACAAACCACAAAAAAATTTCTAACGCAAAATTAAAATTTCAAGTTCACAGATTTACATTATGCCCAAAAAAGTACAGAAACAAAATTGTATTTATACAAGTTTCATAATAAAATAATGAAAAAGACCATTGGGGGATGTCCCAAAGCCAAAGTCCTCCACTGGAAGAGTCCTGTGATGTTGCCAGAATAAATGTGCCTTCACACCATTGCTGTCCTCCCTGCATACGAACACGGAGCAGCCCACAGAAATGTGGGTTTGACATACATGCGACAGTGGAACAAGAGGGGCAACATCTGGGGGTCACCATTATGCTGCCCAATAAAAGATCTCAGTGGCATGTTTTTACCTTGTTTTCCTCGCTCTTCCCCCAAGACCATCAGCACCACCAAAACACACCGCAGATCTTTGAGATAAGGCAGATGAAGGAAGTATCAGTGAGGTGGCGTTCGAGAGGTGCCTGGAAGACCTTCTTGCACTCATCCAAATGTCTCTAATCATCGACTCGCCTCATGAAACCCCATTAACCCAAGGTGAAAACAGACCTACTTCCACATGAGTAATGGGGATGTGCCGGCCTTCTCTCAGGGCTATTTACTTTTTATGGCCGATCTCTCAGTGAACTAAGGAATAGTCAATGGAGAAGATCTTTCAAAAAGCAATGACTACAGCCCTGGGCTCAGGTCTGCATTGCCACAAAGGCACCACCTGACCTTGGGGGTGTTAAGTAACACCTGCGGGACTCGTCAGGGGCTCAGCGCTGAGTTAACAAAACTAAGTTCCCGGCATCCTGTTCACTTGCGGGGTTAGAGTCACTGCCCTTTGGGAGCTCGGTTGTGATAGAGCTTTGAATCAAGTGTTCTCCATGCTATTCTCAGCTTTAAAATGATATTATTTCACAGCTTTTCTTAAAAATGAATTTTAACTCGTTGCTGGGAAAGCTGTATAGAGCATGTCGCCTTAAATCATCCAGGGATTAGATAATTCTGTAGGTTTTGGGTAATTAAGATTTGTTATCATTAAATCAAGGTTCTCCAGAAATTAGCCATAAATTCTTAAGGAGTAATTAGGTCTTTGTTCATTTCTCACTACTATATACTGAATTGGCTGAAATTTCTAGAACCAGGCTTATATCACCAAGGCTGGAGGGTTCTACCCATCATGGAATGGTTTTCAGCTGGGCCTGAATTCAAGATCTTTCATTTCTTCCCTCTCAAACTTCCCTAACACCTAAGATACTGCCTCTGGCAAGACTTTCCTATCCATACCCAACTGCAGTTCAGCGTGGGGAACGTTCTCACAACCAAGTTACTGCAGCGTGTGGGAAGGTATCCATGCCCCTTCTTTTAACAGTGATTGGGTCTCACTGCCAGCTCCAAAAGCCCATCTTAGGATCTGCCTCCTCATGTAACTCTTGGCATCAACAGTTCAGAAACAGACTCTGACATAAAGATTTGCCGGCAGGAAGCCGACTGGGGAGTGTCCTCAAGGACCAGCACGGGTGGGAGGGAAAGGAGGGAAGAGTGAGGGGCCGCACCCCAGCGCAGTCACAGCAAACCTCACCAATCCAACGGTGAGCTCTAGAGCTGGAAAGGCCCTTCCAAAATGCCCTGTGCTGAGACAAGGGGCCAACAGCGGTACATCCCTGCACCACCCAGGAACTGGCTGTGGGCTGCCTCTGGGAAGGGGCCTTGCGCTTAGGAGTAACGATCCTCTTGGGCTGAGCACAACTCTCAGGGAGGAACTCAGAGGAGAGCTATGAGCTGTCCACACTCCCTGAAGCCGGGGGAATGAATGCCTCATTTCTGCGGGGGATCTAGAAGGTGCCGCAGTATCTAATCCACAGAACCCTGCTGTAGTGCACAAAACAGTGGTCCCCCAAGATGACCCCAGCCCCGGATCTGTGAACATGTGACCATTCATGGCATCAGGTTCTCTACACGTGTGATTAAGGCTAAGAACTCTGAGATGGAAAGATTCTCCTGGATTATCCATCTGGGCCCAACCTAACCATGAGAGCCTTTAAAAGAGCCTTCCCTGGTGGAGGTCAGGGTCAGACCAGTTTTGAAAATGGAGGCAGAGGCGACAAGCCAAAGAATATGAGCAGACTCTAGAAGCTGGCAAAGTCAAGCACTAGATTCTTCCCCAGAGCCTCCAGAAGGAATCACAGCCCTGCCCTGGACTGCAGTCCAGTGATACCTGTGTTGGACTTCCAACCTATGGAATTTTAAGATAAACAAACTTTTGTGGTTTTAGGCCACTAACTTTGTTGCAGCTTTGACTGTAGAGGGCGCCTGACTGTCAGTCTTTGCATAAATACCTCAAGTGTAGAAGGACCTGCTTTGCCAGCAGATTGGAGAACTAGTTTTCATTTCATCTTTTACCCTGTCATCTGGACAAACGGCCCCGTATACAAGATAAATGAAAACACCTTTATCTAATACAACCTTAAGCTATTCAGGGCTCTTGCACAGCCTCTTCCCTAGACCTGGGCACCATGTTTCCATCATAAGGGAGTGCCTTCCTGCCCCCACCCTGCCATCTATCTTTGGACCTAATTTTAGCCTCTGACAACCACTGTATAAAATACTGGGTGGTAATTATCAAGAAATTGAATCATATTTAATTTTCCAAGGAAATCTACAACAGTAGTGGGATCAAGGATCTAAGTTCACCGTTTATACCCTAGAGCAGAGTTTCTCAATGGCACTAGCGGCATGTTGGGCCAGACAGCTACTGGTTGGGGATGGGGGCACTCCATGCATTGTAGAGTGCCTAGCAGCACCCCTAGCCTCCACCCACAAGACGCCAGCACCAACTTCACAGTCCAGCTCCCCTGCCCCTAGTCACGACAATCAAAGATGTCTCCAGGCATTGCCGAATGTCCCCTGGGGGACAAATTACTCCCCTCCCTTCCTTGTGAACCACTGTCCTACAGAGAGAGAATTATACAATATGGAACTGACAAGGGCTTTAGATATTTTTCACTCATGCAACCTAACTTTTAAGAATAGAAAGCACTTCTGAAAGAGGTCACGTGACTTGCCCAAGTTAGTGGCATAGTCGGTGGCTACATAGAAATCCGTCATCTCCCTGGAGCACTAGAATAGACCATTTGAAAACTAAACATTTTTTATACAAATGTTAATTAGTTTCCAGAGCTTCATTCACATATGCAGACAATTCAAATAAAGCCCCACAAGTTGACCCAGTTTTCTTATCCTTCCGTGTTTTTTAAGGGTTTCATTCTTCGGAACTTTTGTGGCTAAAATTGCCTCTAATAATGGTTGTCAAGAAAGTATTTCTGCTAATTAGCAGGGGTGACATGACAGAGACACATGGAGCCAAGTAGCTAACTCCCACTACACCAATCTCCCTCCCTTCCCTTGGGCTGAAAGCCTTTCTTAGTCTTTGCACACGGGGGATGGAGGATGGGGACCGAGAAGTCTTTCCTTTCTGGGCAAGGAGGTCATTCCTCCAGCTTCCTCAGAGACTGGATCATTCGTAAGCTGTCAGTTGCCAGGGTTTGGTTGGTTTTGTTAATGTGTAGTTCCATTTTTACTGAATAGACAAGTAACATCAATAGCAGGCAGAGAGATTTCTAGGTGGCTCCGATCTGAATTCTTACTTGTATTTAAAGGCATAACAATGTCAGTAGAATTAATTAAATTGCTTTCACTGTTTCTCCTCCATCACTCACTCATACACTCCTGTGTTAACACACACTGAGATCAGCAGAGTACACATTTACATGTGCACCCACCTACACAGGAAGAAAAATATGCTGATTTTTTTTTCATTCCTATCTTTTATC